AAAATCAAATAAATGCTTTAATCACTACATCAGCTGGCCAGTTTTCCTACCCTTCCTCCTCTGGTATTTATGGACCACCAAAAATGAAAAGATCTTTCAAAAGAATAACTCATATCCCAATATTAGCCTAGGAACCAACAGTGCTCAGGAATTCCTCTTCCTAAGCAAATGGAGTGTAACACCCCAGACTTTAGTCAGAGTTCCACATCAGTAAAATACAAGAGGGGTGCTAGGTATATAAGTTAACAAGCCTTAGACCCTAGTGATGCGTTTTAAACCCGTGAGGGCCTAGGCCCAGAGCGGACAATATCACTAGCGGGCTGGGCTGTTACAGATGGTATCAGAGCCACTCTTGTGTCAGACTTGCCGACGGTGGGTCAGAGTTCAACTGAGTTTAGGCAAATCCTGGTTAGGCGGGGCAAACCTCAGTGCTGAGTCTAGGCAAATCCTATGCGGTGGGGCAAACCTCAGCGAGGACGCTGAGTCCATAAGAGGGGGTGTATGTAACACCCCAGACTTTAGACAGAGTCCCACATCAGCAAAACACAAGAGGATGTTGGGTATATAAGTTAACAAGCCTTAGACCCTAGTGATGCCTTTTAAACCCGTGAGGGCCTAGGCCCAGAGTGGACAATATCACTAGCGGGTTGGGATGTTGCAACCGGCTAACCGGACCAACTAGACCAGGGCGGCCTCCCATCTTTCATCCAATAATTCCAGGCTTGTCGTCATGGCCTCCCCGTTTGACTCTTCGGTAGCATACTGGAACATGAGGCTCGGTTCCTCTACCTCGACTGGTATTGAGGCTTCTGCTCCATAGAGTAGAGAGAGCAGAGTCACCCTGGTACTTGACTTCGAAGTAGTATGGTATGCCCACAAGACTTCGAGCAAGATTTCCTTCCACTTTCCTTTCGAATTGGTCAAACTTTTTTTAGGCTTTGGAGTGTAGTTTTGTTCGTCGATTCCACTAGCCCATTCGTACGAGGGTGGTAAGGCGTTGACAATATCTTCTTGATCTTGTGATCTTCGAAAAATTTACTTACCCTGCACTTGATGAATTATTTTCCGTTGTCGCAAACGATCTCGGCTGGTATTCTAAATTGACAAATTATATGATCCTAGATGAAGTCGATGACTTCTTTCTCTCGAACGTTCTCGAACGCTCGAGCCTCAACCTAGTTGGAAAAATAATCGGCCATGAATAGTATGAATTGAACTTTACCGGGGGACAATGACAGGGGACCGACGATGTCCATTCCCCACTTCATAAACGGCCATGGTGACAGGACCTGATGGAGCATTTCTCTCGGTTGATGAATCATCGGGGCGTGTCTTTAGCACTCATCGCATTTTCGCACGAAGTCTTTTGCATCCTTTTCCATCTCATTCCAGTATTAGCTGGCTTAGATTAGCTTCCAAACTAAGGATTCTACTCCCAAATGATTCTCGCAAGTGTCCTCGTGAGCTTCTCTCATGGCGTATTTGGTCTCTCCCGGCCTTAAGCATCTGACCAGTGGGCCGAAGAAGGATCTCCTGAATAATGCCCCTTCGTTAAGCTAAATCTGGCAGCCTTAGTGCGCAAGGCTCTCGATTCCTTGGGATTCGAAGGCAATTTTCTTGTCTTCAGGTGGTCTATGTATTTGTTCCTCCAATCCCAAGGCAAACTTGTCGAGTTTACTTCGTCATGACCTTCTTCTACCACCAAATTCGTCAGTTGTACCACTGCCCCCAAACCGAATTCATCGGAGTCGATACACTACCCCAAGTTGGCCAGTGCATTGGCCTCACTGTTTTGATCTCGGGGCATATGCTGCAAAGTCCATTCCTTGAATTGGTGCAGGGTCACCTGCAATTTGTCCAAGTACCTTCGCATCCGCTCTTCTTTTACTTCGAATGTTCCGTTGACTTGATTTACAACAAAGAGAGAGTGACATTTGGCTTCGATCACTTCGGCCCCGAGGTTCTTAACCAGTTCTAGACCTGCAATCATGGCCTCATACTCGGCTTCATTCTTAGTCAATTTTACATTTCTAATAGACTGACTAATTATGCCTCCCGCATATGGTTTTAACACGATACCGATCCCAGACCCCTTCTCTTTGGAAGTACCATCCATGAATAGGGTCCATATTTTGGAATTAGCCCCCGAGGTGAGCAGTAACTCCATTTCGACTTCGGGTATTAAGGTCGACGTAAAGCAGCCATAAAGTTTGCCAAAATCTGAGATTTTATGGTTGTTCGGGGTTGATACTCGATATCGTACCCGCTAATATCCACGGTCTATTTGGACAACCGTCCCGAGAGCTCGGGCTTATGCATGATATTCCTCAGTGGGTAAGAGGTTACGACACATATGTAGTGGCATTGAAAGTACGTTTTTAGTTTCCTGGAAGCACTTAGCAAAGCTAATGCTAGCTTTTCTAGGTGAGGATACCTTGATTCGACATCGCCTAGGGTTGAACTAACATAGTAAACAGGAAATTACGTGCCTTCTTCCTCTTGGACTAAGACGTTGCTTACCGCCAACTCGAAAATTGCCAACTATAGGTACAGTTTTTTGTCTGCCTTAAGAGTGTGCAGCAGAGGGAGGCTCGATAGGTATTGTTTGAATTCCTCCAAAGCTTGCTTAAATTCTGGAGTCCAAGAAAAATTGTTCTTCTTTTTCAAATAGTGAGAAGAACTGATGTTGATACTCAATTTTCCCCCATATATATATATATATATATATATATATACACACACACACATCATCATTTGATTTACAAGCATACACAAGTATTTTTTATAATTTTCCATGATTTTTTAAAAATATTAAATCAATTTATTTCTGCATTTTATTATATAAATGTCTAATAATTACCCTACAAATTGTTTTTATGATGATTTAATCATCTAAACTTATCATTTATACCAATATGGGGTTTTAAGTATTTTCAGTGGATTTATTAATATTACATTTTGCATTTTTAGAGCTAAATTGCACATTTTGCAATAATAACCCATATGCATATATAATTACATTATTTGTACAAAAAATGACTTTTTATATTTTTATAATTTTAAGTAATCACTTTAAACCATTTTCATGCACAATAATATTTTGGTTATTTATTGATTATTTTTATAAACTATTTATTTGTTAAAAATGGGTATTTAAAATCTAGCCCTAAAATCCCCTATTTTCGGATTTAACCCAACACCAGCCCAATACCATTGCCCAAACCTAATTAGCCCAGTCCCCATACCCATTTTAATACCCGACTCAGGACCCTTTAAATCGTGACCGTTGATCTCTAAGATCAATAGTCCACGTTACACCTGCCCCTTTAAACCAACCAAACCCCTAACTCTAAATCATTCATACCATCCTGCAGCCCTAGAACTCTCTCATCTCTCATCTCTCATGAACCATAGCCGCCGTTCTATCAACCTCCCCCAAATCCGACCCCAAATCGGAATCCACCATGGATTCCCTTACCTTATTCGCCTATCCTCACCATTGGCCACTCGTCTATGATCCTATTTAGTTGCTTGCCTAACATGGCAAGCAAATCTTTCCAAAATCGAACCAAATCGGTTCAACTCTCTGATTTCTGTGGCTATTCCGTCTATATTCATCATTGATTCTTTGTGAGTAACGAGCATGGTCATATCTTTCTGTGATTCTTACTTACCCCAAATTAGGGTTTTCAAACCCTTCCAATTGGACCTAAATAGGTCCGGTTTTCTAATTTTTTAACACTATTCTACTTCTATTCATCTCATCTCGTGTGATTTTTTACCTTATTTTGTATTTTTTTTATTGATTTCATACTTTCCCTAAAAAACTAGGGTTTTGAATCTTTTCCTTTTCTTACTGATTCTAGTAAACCATTCCTTTCTGTTTTTGATTCTTTATGTTTTCCCTGACTTTTACTTTAACATTTGCTTAAATATTTTGAATAACCTTTTGTTTTGGTATTATTTGCTGAATAATTTTTCGTTTGGTATCATTTATGTTTCCCTAAATATTTGCTTAAGTATACTGAATAATCTCTTTTGTTTTGGCATTACTTGTGATTTCTTTAATACTTGCTTGAATATTCTTAATAATTTTGGTTTCCCTAATTTTTTGTCTGCCTAATATTCTGAACGATATGTTTTTTTTGGTATTATGTGTTCTGCCTTAAATACTCCGAGTAATTTTGGGGTACTTCCTTAATTTGTTGAATCCCTTGATTTATGCCTTAAATTACCTATATCTGATTCTGCAAATATTTCCTTGCATCTTATTGATTTGTTTCCATGTTTATATGTTGGTTTCTATCACTATATAAATCCCTCCCCCATTCCCCTTTAGGACAGACTTTGGAATCACAATAACCTCACTAGATCTAAAACTCTACTTTTTTACTTTGTTCTATACTTTGGTTTTGACTGGCTGAAAGCCAAGACCAATGAATTCTGGGTTTTTGCTTCTAGTTGACGTTTAGAACACTGTTGGATTTTGTTCTTTCTTGCATTTTTTGTTTAACTGGTGAATTACTTGTCTTTCGTAATTTCATCCTTATATGTTCTTACCTCTGAATCTCTGGCTTAATACGCTCCTAGTTTACTTTTAAGCATCACTATGTTTAACTTCTGCATTTAATCACTCTTAATGCTACTAGTTCTGAGACTATCTATGCCTAATTGGATAACCTGAATCTTCTTTAGGGCCTATTCAGTTAGTGTATTGACTCTTAAATGCCTATGAACATGTTTATTCATTTACCCCCTTGAATCCCTGTAGTAATCTGTGTTAAGACTTTCAGTGTTAGTCATAATTTGCCTTTCTATCATTGTGTCACCCTGCATGCTCACTTGATCCCATACCCCTTTAGTATTTGCTTGTGATTTTGAATAATTATCTCAGCATGTTTTTGAATTGTTACTTTGAGGGGTTAGGCTAGACCTTTGGTGCAAACTAGATCATCTTCTTCTAATTAGGTTTTTATAACCATGTGTGAATGCCCATATCTGCTACTTGACATGAGTGTACCTTTCATTCTGTCCAGAATATTTGTAGAGATGTTCTGGCATATGTTATGTGTCTGTAATATTGCCCCTTTGCCAACATGATTCCCTGTCCCTTCTATGATTACTTGTCTTGTCACAGTGCTGCCTTGTTTCTTACTTAGCATAATTTCCAGCCATGATTCAACCTATACAGTAATGTGCATCTGTATATAGTACCCCAATCAATCCTACAAATAAGTTCTTATCAGCTTCTCTTTTAGCATGTGACTGCTTTTGTGCTAAGTGTTGAACCTGTTTCTTACTTTACATTAAACTTGCTTTTAAATTCTGTTATTTGTTCAACTGTTTGCCTAATATGCTCAATTTGGTCGTGTCTGTTCAAATCCCTCAATTCCTGTCCCTCAACCTTAGTCTTTTCTCTTCCACCTATTTCCTATGTTCTTTGAATACCATTCTTAGCCGGCTGAAAGCCAAGGCTACTTAGGTTCTTTCCTTTGACCTCCCTACTGTGAGCACTGCTCGGGGTCCATTTGAGGCCCTTGTGAACTCTCTCACACACTAGGACTTGGTCCCTAATTGCTCCTCTGAATTATCTCTGTTAACCTCACTAGTGTGAGCACTGCCCTGGGTTCTTGAAGCCCTTGGGAACTCTGAAGCACTGGGGTCCTGGTTCTATATGCTCAATTCTATTTTAAGACTATTGGGAGAATCCCTCAAGTCCTGGCTGCCTTCTGTCCACGAGCATGTATTTTGGGGTATTGTGAATTATGAGAATGAAGGCCTGGCCTAGCCAGGTGTACTTTTGGGCCTGCTATAGGTTCCCTATAGTTATTCTACTTTGTAATTTACTCTATTCATTCTGTGTTTGTAATAATTCATGTAATAACAATTTGGGGTATTAGTGAAATTGGGGAAAGGGCTTTTACCATATACTTGCACTGAAATGGGTAGAAATCATGCTTATAGGTTCATTACTTGGTTGAAATATGCTTTTATGTTCAAACATGTTCAGCTATCATGTATTAGAAATCATGCCTATAGGTATTTTATCTTTGCTCAAAACGTGTTATATCTCAATCATTACAGGAATCCTGCCTATAGGTTCTTCCTTTTGGTTCAAATGTGCTCTATGCCTGCTTGTTAGAAATCATGCCTATAGGATCTAAAATCAGTTTTAGTTATAGAAATTATGCGTATAGGATCTAAAATCTGTTTTAGTTATAGAAATCCCACCTATAGGATCTAAAATAAAATCAGTTTTAGTTATAGAAATCATGCCTATAGGTTCTAAAAGTCAGTTTTAATTATAGAAACCATGCTTATAGGATCTGAATCAGTTAATTAATCGTTCTATTCGTTTCTTTAATAGTCCTCAACGCTGGGTTAAATATCGTCACTAGAAATCCTGCCTATAGGACTCAATTAACCAATTCTGAACATAATCCAATGATCACCATTATCACTTATTGCATAAAATGCCTAGATATCATGCCTATAGGTTTAATCTCTTTTACCTGTAATCAGTAGGCAACCATGTAGGTTTCAGAGATTGTAAACTGCCCGTTCATTAAACCCAGATTCATATAGAGATCCTGCCTATAGGTTTCTACAACCTCAACTTATTAAAATCAGGAACTATCTTTGTTAATCTGACCTGCGTGCATTTGATGTCTAAGTGCGGAGGTCAACTTGAGCCCTATTTGCTTATAAGTGAAAGACCAAAGTGTTTTGTATGTTGCCTAGTGTTTTATTCATTTTTGAGCAGCATAAGTTAAAGTCTAGAACACCATGAGATAGAGGTCCAAATGCCTCATGGACCATAGGCATGGGACGGGTAGTGCACGCGTAGGATACGAGTTAGAATTGACTAGTGCGCTTTAGGTAAACAACTTAAAGATAGTAATTGAGTAGCAGGAGATGATAGTCTGTGCCCGCTGAATAATATGAGTAACACCCCATCTAGAGGGAGTTATGAAATATTATTTATGTTGCATGGGGTGATCCTTTAGGCTAAAAAACTTAGGACCCCCCCACCTTGCCTTTCAATCAATTATTTGTGTTTAATAATGAAATTCCCAAATCCTTTTGTTTTCTTATCTTTGATCACATAGACTAATTCATATAATTGAGTTCGGCCGGGACCCACAGTTGTGGACCTTGAAAAGTGCC